ATAACAACTCCTATGCTTAGGGCGTCGGAGGTTTTCCAGGGAGTTGTGGAAATCTAGAAAATTACTACTTGTATAACTACCTAGTGCCAGCGCCCCAGCTTCCAACTCCTAACATTTTTGCTGGGTAGTTTTTGAAAGTGTGAAATAAAATTTTGACATTTTAAATTAATGCTGGAATACTGTATAAATTATTGAATAGTGGTGGCTGTGACCTTGAAAATTAAATGGAAGTGCCTGCTGTGAGATGGATGAATCATGCAGTCGCTGCGGGCCAGATCTGGCCTACAATGGGCCATATGTTGGGCAGCATTGGATTAATAAAATTGTGTAGAGTTCTTCTGTGCATATGAATTGATAAATGTTGCATGGCTTTATTTTTAGTTTACGCTTGATTTATCTTGAAGATTTCATATCCCGTGGCAATGACAGGACCTATGATTTTGGACAGAAACAGCTACTCCGCCGCAGCACGATACCTGCTGGATGTTAATTGAGCCCTTATGCTGATCGTCCCATGTGAGATGGCTTATTTGACTTTTTCACTACTGTTCAATACTGTACATGCCTGTTTATTACAGCTGGAATCCATAATACTGTAGAGTCATCACTATTGTTTGGATTCAACCTGTTATTCCTGCCGGTTGTGCACCTGTAATGGGTAAGATTCTACTCCAGAAGCTTGACTTCTGGATCATTATACATTCACATCCTCTTGCTGTTTATATGCCTGTAATATGTGCATCCCGTGCAGGGAAGTAATGCTCCACTCCTGGGAAATTAATCGTCTATATATCTGAAACTTAATTTCTTGATAGAAGCGTTGATAAAGTGAAGCACTATACACAGTTTTGAAGTGTTATGTCCCGTATTCGATGGTCGTCGAATGCGGAACTCTATGATAAGCGTTACAGCGATTATAAAAGTATGGCCGCGCACAACGCCTAGCTGGCCTGAAATCCCAGAAGGGCCAATCTGAGGGAAGTCCAGGAAAGATTACTCAGGAAGTGACCGTGGTGCGTTAAGTCATGAATCTGTTTGAATTTGGGATGATCGCTCATTCAATTTATTTTTTCAGGAAGTCACCTTTTCTGCTCTTTGTTAGACTATGTCCAGTGCGCGAAGAGCGCATAGCAAGCAGTACGTTTCGGTACCAATGAAGGCCTTATCCAGCGGAAGCGGATCGAGCTCTGACTCGGAAGAAGATGTGTACATCGCTGAAAAAATGAAGAACAGTAATGGTGAGATATGCTGTTCTTTTTGTCGTGTGTGACGCTTTGATTGACGGTCGATTTATCCCGTAGTTGTCACCCCGAAAACGTTGAGCGAGCTTTTGTCATACCTCCCCGAAATCGAAATCGTCAGCGAAGATGAAGCAAAAAGGTCACGGTTTAGGCGACTGTGTGCCCGTCACTCCCGCAGTTTCTATATAGCTGTCACTATTATCCTGCTTCTTGCCTTCCTTGGAATCTTTTTGGGTTTGTTGGTGATTCCTACTTGTTCGCCAAATTCGTCGTGGCCTCAATGTCTGGAGAAGATCCCGGAAGTCATTAGCAGTTCGTTACCTGGTAAAGCTGACGGAGTTGTTGTTCCTGCGCATTGGCGGCAAACGTTCCCCGGTGCAGGTATCGTGATTACCAATTGTTCTGGAAGCTTGAAATTCAAATTCGGAAATGTCAATCTCTTATAGTGAGTTCGGAGTCAAATGTGTACCTCGGCACCGACGACATGTACGTGATATACGGATTGAGATATATCGAGAAATCTGCTGGAGAAAAGTCGGAAAGTGGATTCGATGGGGTCTTCGATTTCGACTCCACCGATCAGTTGCGACTCAAGTCTGCTCTAATGTCAATATCTTTAACCTCGGGCGAAATCCGTTGGCAGCGGGATTTGGAATTTGCGGAAAGACGTATTGAACGAGTGAAATGCTCTGTTAAAAGCATGAGTTGCTTGACGACGTTGCATCCGGGTACGCTTTCGGTCTTCAACCCCGAAACAGGTACGCTTTTCTTATTTTTTTCGAAATTAGACGTATCTAAAACTCTTTATCCATTTGAAATGTTACTCAATACGATCTGTAGAAGCGAAATCCGCAGAGGGGAATAGAGAAAAATTAACAATATCTCAAAAGACTATTCCGTCATGATATCCCGGATAAGAAAATTGACCGACTTTATCTACTTCTCAGAGCAAAAATTTTCATATTTTCCACGCCTGACCGGCCTAAGTACTGTCTTGTAATGTGCCTTACTGCATTCCGTAGTCATCGTGCAGGACACAGCAATCTGTCAAGTTGATGTTGAAGTGTAAAATTCTGTTACGCTGTGTCGAGCAGGAATCGTGATAGTGGAATTATTTTCATTAATCGTATCTGAACATGATTTTTCAGGGCAAGGCAAATGGACAAAAGAGATCGGAGATGGAAAACTCGACGTATCGTTCATAATGGATGTCAACAACGACGCGATTCCCGATTTCATCTTGCTTTTGAATCCGACAGAACTCCAACCAGGAAAGACATCTATTCAATCGTCCATCAGGTTGATATCAGGGTCTGATGGCAGTACTTTGGGACGAGAGCTTCATATTCCTGGGTGTTATGAATTGTCTGATCCACATGTGGTGGATAGTGGATCCATGGATTTAGTTCACATCACATGCAAAGAACCTAATTCGGATGGTAAGTGTTGCTAAAATTATGTGTATCTAGGTCTATGATGCTTCTAATCTGCAACTTAGTGCACAGCGTGAAACAGAAACACCCAGCACACGTAAAGGGGGACTCTCAGCAAAAGAACTTAAAGGACCAGAAACAAATTTGTTTTAGAGAGAATTTTACAGTCGGGAACCAGTATAACATGGTGAGAGAACCCTTTGAGAACTAATACAAATTCATTACGCAAATACATTTATTTTTTGTAGAGAGTTCACTTGTAATGGAAAATATGTGAGGTATAGTATCATATTCACTTGAGAACCATGTACACCCTTTTTTTCTGCAAAATTGAAAGGAAGAAAGGTGGTACACTTTATAGGTGGGTGTACAGTGCATATAAAAAAAGTTCTGGAATTTTAGGTGTGCATCATACAGTATTTGATATGGGTGGGAACTTTTGGATCAGTTTCAACAGGGAAACCTATTGTAACGTAAATAATTTAAAATCAGTTGAATTCTGGATGAATTTATTCCAAAATTCAAAGTTGGGTGTTTTTTTTGGTTGAAATATTTCATTTTTAGAGTCACTAAAAGTGGGGTGTGTCTTACTTGGGGATGCAGTTTTATATAAACTGTGACTGAATTACCCCGGTGTGCTTGTGGTACTACAGTAAATACAGCATACAGTACTTGCCTAAATCAAATACCTGATTACCGAAGTTCCACGCATCTGTGAGTAAGATGCACATCTGATTTTGCCATTCTGAAAATTGGTTTTAAGCAATCTCCAAGTAAGACTTGCATCCCATTTTCAGTTATGGAAAGGTTGTCAAAGTTTGGGTATTAGACACCAGAATTTAGACTATGACTTGAATTGGACCCAAATTGAATTGATTTTAAACTTTTCCCATGCAAAAACATATCTCAAAATTGATTGAACTTCCTATCAGAATAAATTATGACATGCAGCTAAATTTTGAAATAAAATTTTTATTGAAAGAGACTATCATTTATGTATATGATGCGGACCCTCGTTTTCCACTCTTAGTTTAGAAAAAAAAAAGTATATGTGGTACTCGCGTAAAGATGGTGATTATCTTCATTTTTTGCTGTCTTTTTTGAATTCTCTGAAAACTTTTATTGCACCAAAATCTTGAATCCTGCCTTTTCGGAGCCTTATCAACTGGTTTATCAAATTTTTGTGGCGGAGTATCGCCACATCATTGGATGCTCTTTGGTTTTTAATTTTTTGAGTCTTCATTAGCGCACGAGGAATGATGCATTTTTGCAGGAGTTGGGCTAAAATACGATTCAATGTACTGTACAAGCTTGGATTCACGTATTAACCTGTGTGTATTTAAAAAAAAGAAATATCGTTTAAAAGAATCCCATATCACCCTGGAATTGATTTGCTTCTAATTACGTGTTTTCTTCAACGGAGTGATGCTTTTCTATATCACACAGAGCATCTGCTCAGACTTTCTATGCCCGATTTGGTCAAGTCCGCCCTGAACGGTACCGAAAGTACAGTCGTTGGACTGGCGGAGAAGACCCATCAAGTGAACTCAGATTCAGTTGCCAACTTTGCCGGAGGAATCGTGCATTTCAACGACTACGATCTCCGCTGGACCAACTTCCGCAACGGATCTTCGCAAGTTTTGATCGATGTATCCGAGGACAGTATCGACATCAATCAAGGCCCGACACGAGTCACGAAATTTGAACAAATGTTGAAAAGGGCAGTAGTGACTGGTGGAGACTTCGTGCCTCATTGTGGACGTTTGAAAGATTCGTCTTCTTGTCCCATCGTCGTTTTCGTCAAGACTTGGACGAACGTTTCTAATTCGAGGCAGAAGCGGGAAGTGATCGAGGCTCCGATTGCAACTGTGTTTCCGGGCTCTCTCGTGGATGACAACAGTTTTCTAGATCCTGGATCCCTGTACGATGTGGACAATCCTCAGAATGTTCGTGTTGGTCCTTTGAGATCTGAGTCCGTGGAGAATGACGTCAGGTACGGTGTGACTGATGATGTTGCTCCGAAACCAGCAACTGAGGATGTGAAGGATCCGTCTTCGAGTAAACCACCGTTTGTGCTGAAAGTGCAAACTCGAGAAAGTTCGTGGGAATTTGTCAGCTTGATTGATCGTGTCACTTGGTTCCGGGAAAGAAAGGACGTGAATTTTGATCACGGATTCCTGGAGGTTGAGAATGTTACTGTTGCCTGTGCGTCTTCCCCTGAAGCCACATCGCTGAGGCTTGTTCTTTCTGAGCTTGGCAGTTGCATTCCGCGTCCGAATCAGCATTCAGGTAATTTTGGAGAAGAAAGTGTGTTTGTTACGAGTGGAATTTTTTTTTTTGCCATTTGGCAGGAATGCGAGATGTCAACCCTGATCTTTGTGTGCATGTTTCCAAGTACAGTAGTGACTGGGGTTTTCTTATTTCACCCCGGATTAATCTTGATATGACAAATTTTGGGGACTTCAGAAAAGGTGTGTTACACTGAATAATATATTATGATGAGATTTACAGAATTAATGACTGGAAAATTTGTTTTTAGATCAGACCTGTCTATTATCAATTAGATCTTGCTTTTGTGGTATTCTCAGATTTTTTATAATTGTTTGCACAACTAATTGATTTTGTGGAAGAAAAGTCAGCTTCAATCATGCATTCCATCAGGTGCACCAATCGCTTTGTTGTGGAACGATGTTCTGTGAAACCAATTGGAAGGATGTTTTGTCATTGATTACAGCTTCTATCAATGCTACGAGAACCAGTCAGTCACATTTTGGAACGGAAATTTCAGACTGTTCCTGTCTTAGCCAGGAAATTTCTACCTGGAGTATTGCCCAAAAATGTTTTTTTACTGGAATTGGGAAGTTCGTTATGGAAAGATTGTTGTAACATTTACTCTATGGGCTTTCTGCTGGTTTTTGAAAAAGCGTTTGTTGTACTGGAAACTTCGTTGTAATGGTATTCGTTTCAACGAGATTTTACTGTATTTACATCTTTGTGTGGCTCAGCAAATATGTGTTCCATGAAAAAAGGAAGATCATGGAGGCGAGTTTTTCTGTCGAGGAAATGAAGAAATTAAGCGTCTGGGGACAATTCGAAAAAAAACGTGAAAAAATTTCCTGCTGTCATCTTACTCACCGGAGCTTTGGCTTTTCACGTTTTTTTTTTGGGTTTTAGCGTTTAGCTTTCAAAGAAAAATGAGAAAATCCGAGCAATGGTAAACGCGGGAAAGTAAAATTTTGTAATGCTGCTCTGTGGAAATCGAGCGATGTGATCTGTGCTTTTCGCGAAAGCCAGTTTGATTTTTTATCGAAATTGCGCTTGAAGCTCAAGGTTGGCATCTTCTGATAATCATGAAGTGTGACCACAAATCTGACGAAGTTCGCCAAAAGTGTTGGATTCATCGTTTGTTATTGATCATCTCAATGTGTGTGTCTCGATCTGTAGTGGCAACAACACTCGTGACGGGTTCCGGCATCGAAGTAAACACGGGCACGGGTGAGCAAATGGTTGCGTTGGTCAGCACTACCCCGAGTTTGGAACGGGTTCCTAATCCCGATGGGAAGAGTATTTTCAGGCTTGTTACCAAAGTGAATCATTGGCGAGGTTTCATGGCTGATGTTCCCGGGGAATCGTGAGGTTGGGAGAGCTTTTTTGATTCATTCCAATTTGAGATCGCATGGTTGAAAGTACGCGAATACCTTGTTTTTTAAAACTTGAAAATCCGTCTCATTTTCCGCGTCGACTTTTTTTTCCAGTGGAGACTTTTTCATCAAGTGTGCGTTCGCTAGTCATTAGGAATTATGCTAGGTCACGTCTGAATGATCTCCCACGTTGTTTCCTGTGTGTAAAAGATCAAGTGCGGGGGAAAAATCATTTACGAGCTTCGCTTAAGGTCAAGTGTGATTGCATGTGCCTGGTCATTCCAGAAAGTGTTGTGTGAATTTATTTAAATTATGCACCCGAGACTGAGAGGGCTTCTTGCGTGCTCCCCAATTGTTGGCGGATATTTGTATCGGAAAGGCTTTGAATTGGGTGCGTGTACAGTATTTTGAAAGGTATAATTTTTTGAGAGAGGGGGGGGGGGGGATTTTTCGTGGGGATCGTTGGCCAGTTTCTGTGACAATCTGCAAGGAGAGATTCCAGTACATTCTTTGAACAACTGTTGTGATGTTACGTGCCCATGACGAATGTATATTTTTCAAATGCTGTTTGAGTCAAGTTGTGATGTGATGCTTCGAGAGCCAGTTTTTAATTTATCCCGAGTGGAAGAGAGCAGGAATTTATATATTTCAATCGAATCTTTGATAAATCAAGCGCGGATTGAAGGTTTATTTTTTTTGAGCGATCTCGGAATAATACAATTAAGCAGGATGTGCTTTATTCTTTTCATCGCTTCTTCAAGTGCATCTGCTGAAATCTTATGGTGGAGGTGGGTGAAATGGAAATAGAATCAAGCGCTTCCATCGCTCTTCATTTCTCATTTTCATTTGTATTTCCCTGTTTGACAATGCTGCCCAACTCCAATGTGGACGTATGGGCCACATTTGCTCATTTTTGCGTAGCCAAGGGGAAGTTTTCAATTTTTCGTGTTTAAAAGCTGAAAATATCAAGCTAAAAATCAGATGTGTCAATTAGAGTTTTTCAGAAAAAATTATAACAGGAACGATCTTGGAGAAGTGCAAAAGTAAATTTAAGTTTGATGATGTGAATGAATTCTGCTGTGAAATGAGTGCTTAACCAAGTGTTCAAATCGTTTCTGAATTAGTGTAGGAGAAAAACTCCGAAAAGTTCGCTTTATTTCACGTTATCTCGAAGCACAGTGTGCAGACAAATGCGATTTCGATAAGGCACTATTCATGATTTACTTTTTGAATGCTGCTTGATTTATCTACAAATGATGGAACCCCTGAAGAAGTTTCAGTTGAAAGCTTTGATCCATGTGTGTACATGGGTGAAGATATTTTGGTTGTTTCCTCTATAGTCTATATAAATTGCTGCAATTGAAAAATCATTGGATAGTACACATTGATGTGAACATAGTATATTTTACACCATTATCTCCTTGAGAATAAGAAGTGCATTGGAACCCTGAGATGTGCACATAATTGGTGCATGGACCTTGTCTCTGAGTTGGAATGTCTGCATGTCAGACCTTGTGTTCCAATAGACTTCAATAGAAATACTTTCAATTGTTTCTCCTGTAGATCAATAATTAAGAAAAAATTCCCTCCAAAAATTGAATAAAATATTTTTAAATTCAAAAGGGGCGCATTTACCCCAATTATTTGAATCAAACTCAAATCAGTATATGTTAAAAAAAACGAAGCAGATAACAATGTGAATTCAGCCCTAAGTAAATGAGCGTTTTTTATGAAACCATACCCTTTTTTTCAAGTGTGTTTCATACTCAAGTGAAGATGAATTTAGCTTTTACAATATTTAAGCCAATACTGTACAGTATATTAAATATTTTTCTTCTTGTAACTTTTAAAATTTTCTTTGATTGTTTGGTAATTGTGTGATTTTTTAAAGTATATTATTCACTGAATTCTCAAATGTTCTTGAAAATTTCAAGCACGTCACAAGCTCACAATTTAAAACTTATCTTATTTAGAAAAAGTTATGCTTCATGTTAGGAATTGAGAATTTGAATTTAGATGAACCTTTTGAAACCTTGGATTGAAACCTTCAGAAATAAAGAAAAATGACGATCAGCTGGGTTGCTTTACACCTTGGCTGCAGCTGGGTTGCTTTACACCCTAGTGTAAGATTGGTATACAGTATTTGAAATATAATTGCAGAAATCTAATGATTGCAATGCAACAAATCAACAAAGCACAATAGTCTTTTGTGTGAGACTGACCCAAAACAACTGATGATCATGCATACAAACTGTTTGGCATTTAAACTCTTTTTCCTGGCAAAATTTCATCCCTGAGAGATTTTTATCCCTTTCTTTTAGGATTTCCCCAGAATCCAAACTCCTGTGGGAACTTGAGGTCAAACCCAGTCCCATATGGAATTCTGGATGGATTTAGACATTCTTGTCAGTGGCACCCTTCTAATCTGTCTGGAATTCTACTGTACTACCGTTTTCTAATTTCCAACACTTCATACTTGAGCAAATAGGGTGATTCTGTACAGTAAAAGAGTTCACTTAACAAATAAATCATACTTTTATCCATCTCTTTTGCTGGATAATAACAATCCGATTAGTGTTATTCAAAATATAACAGTAAATATAAAAGGGATGTTTTCCAGCTCTCAGATATTCGAGGAAAATAACCAGCACAGAGCCTATCAATAATTCAATTTATTTGGCGAATATCCTTTTTAATATTTTAGGGGAAATGAAACGCTTTCACCAAAAAAACATGGTCTTGCGATTTATTCCTCCAGCACTCACTTCAGTAATCCGTACACCTTCAAAAGGCGAACTTATTCGAATTTCTCTATATATCCAAGTTATTCCAGCTAAAAAGAAATGTCATCTGCAAATAAAGTATCCAAAGCCTTCGAATTAGCTCCTTACAACACTGACAGTAAAGCAAAAGAAGCATTGGAAAGCCTGGAATTTTTTCCGGTAACCAGGGAAATGGCAAAATCTGGAAAAGGTTTGTGCATCTCGTATCCTGCAAAATTCGCATTCCATGTTTGTATTCGCACTGAAAATAATTCAGCTGTATTTTTATCCCTTGATAAAAAACTTGGTTTGTGTTTAGAATTATTTCTGCTGTGTAAAGTATAGAGTTTCAAAATGTGTTCAGGTTTTTCCTGCCAAAAAATAAACTCTAAGAATTACAGATCGTATCTGAATTCATATACAGTAGTTATTTTATGAATGCAAGTGAAAATCAATGAATCCTTTTTGAGAGTGATGCAAATTCTGATTAATTTTGTGTTGAAAAAAAAAACAAAATGCAAACTGGTGTCTCAATTTCCTTTGCATAAAATCAGAGCATCACCAATAAATTCTGTAGATTTGCAGAGAAAATATACTTAGTACTGTATATTCTCTTGGATGTGCTTTATAGTGAAGTACTTTAGTCTGTTGCAATATTTCTTAGAATTTGAGAATGTTTTGTTCATGAGAATTTGATTGTGTACATCAGTACTGTAATTTGTCATGTTAGGCTGTTGATGTGGTTAACCAAGGTACTGTACTGTAACACCATAGTATATGAAGAAAAACATGCACAGATATGTCCTAATTCCAAGCACCATATCAAATGATTAAAAAACCATATCACTGCTGTCTGTGTAACCTGATTTGAAAAAATCCTTTCTCCTATATAGTGCTTTAATATGTGTAATCTTGTGTTTTAAAATTTTTTTCAGCTGCATTATTCATATGATTTTCTGTGACAGGATTACTTGCTGTTCTTGGCTTGATTTTTTAGGTGTTCAATATTGTAAGAAAGGTCTAATGTGTACTGGCAGAAGAATAAAAAAGAAATTCCATTCTCACCTTACATGTATCTTTCAGTGTGTGTTTCTCTGGATGTGAAGCTTCTTAAATACTTGTTTGTATCAGTACTTCCTCCAAATAACAATGAAACAACATTCTGGGAACATATCCAAGATGCAGTAACAATGATGATAATTGATGGTATTGCATTTTTTATATCCCATGCCAAATTGCCTTTTAGGTACTGTACATTGAATGAAATAAATTCTTCCCCATTGAAGTCTATGGGAAAATCACATTTTGTTGGCAAACTTTTTCTTGATGAACCAATTAAGTTTGATGTTGACCAAAGGGTCCACTAGGTAAAGCCTAATAATTAATCAATTGATAACTAATAATTCATTAATTAACAATAATAATCAATCAGCAATAATAAATGATTTGTTGATAAATGTAGACACTGCACAATGTGTGTGAACTTTTATATTATGCCAAGAAGAAAAATATTTGAATTTTCATTCCATTAACTGTTGTGTGAATCATCAGTGAACAGGCCCATTCGGATTTTCGTTGTTGGTGTGTTTGATCTTTTCCATCTGGGACACCTTCACATGCTGAGAATGTTGAAGCTCTCTTTTCCCCATGTTCATCTGATTGTTGGAGGTGAAAAGCTTTTCAAGAATACAAACCCATCACAGAAAATTACTTACTTACTGCATTTTGAAAACAAAATTTCAGTACCAAGTGAGAAAACGTGCGAAATGAACAATGGAACCACAATCTTACTTGACCATGAAAGATATGAAGTCATACGTCATTGTAAGTATGTGGATGAAGTTTACAAGGATTTTCCTCTCCACCTGATATCAGCTGAATTTTTCAAAACTATGAAGGTAAAGTGCAGGAAGAAAATCATGGTTTCAATGGAGATTATTCATAATGTATTGTATTTTAAGGTGGACTTTGTGGCACATGAGGATTTCTCATTCCTGGACAAAAGTGTGTTGGAGAAATTTGAGGAGGTCAAGAAGTTGGGGATGTTTCTAGAAGCAAACATTCCAAAGGGGATGTCAACTAAGGATATAATTGATGGAATCATTGAGGAGTACAGGAAAGATCCTCAATTCTTCCAAAGGTAATTGATTTACAGAGTATAGGAAAACATAATTGAAATTAGTGGCCATCATTCTTTATGTTTCTGAATAGGTGATTGAACATAATTTAATCACTTGAATTCATTATTCTACTGTTAAGTGTCTAAATATTGTAAAAGTTGTTGTCTTAAATTGGCATGAACAAATATGAATTCCTTGATCTTAAAATTGCTACCCAGACACATTCACTCCATTGTGGATGAAATGATAAACCAAAATAGAGACTGGTGTCTTGAAGATTTACATAGTTTTCTGCATATTCTCAAGGAGTAACATACTTCATTACTATATACTTTGCTGAACAGAAAGCAAAGGAAAAATGAGAATGATTTAGAAAGGTATCCCTGCTATAGCAATGGAATGTTATGTGCAGTTGCGCACTAAGTTCAACAAAGCATAATACAGAAAAAAATAACATGGGAACACTCCAAATGGCTATTTAAGTTGTGGCCATAGCATATACAGTATTGAATCCCCCTTTGAAAATTTTCATAAATGAATTGCACCTCCAAGATGCTTTTAAAGTAATTTTTAGATCATGCCAATTTAAAATGCAATACAACTTTTGGATTTTGTCTCATATACTGTACTACTGTACTATATAGAATATGCATTGATTTAGCAACTTTTATAGATAATTTTCAAGCTGTATTTCCAAATGCTTATCTGTATCCATGATCAATGGGTGCATGGAGAGATATATTTTGAAACCATCATTATGACTCACCAAAGCAAATAAAAAATATTTGTCCACATCACCAACCTGCATGCTGGTAAACATATTTTTATGTTTAACAGACTCCAGCATCCAGTTCCCTCCTAATAATGAAAACATGAAGGAACATCCATCAAATTAATCTGCTTCATGATTTGTGAAATCAGAAGCCTATCATGAACTGGAAAACATCATTGAAGAAATCATGTTGTGGAGAATCTGTTGGACATGTGAAGCCAAGAAAAGGAGCACCTACAAAGAGCACATCACACAAAGCTTTCATTTTATGCTTTTGAGTGGTTTCTCACATTGATTCTGATAGAATGAAGATTTTAATGACTTGCTTGTTTTCAGAAGATTTGTTTTCTTTGAAAAGAAAAATATTCAGAATACTTAAAAGTACAGTACCTGAAATACAATTTACTGAGTACATTATATTTATATCTTCCCAGACAATTTGTGGAGAAAATTCTTGCATGATTTGGGGAAAATGTACCACCACTTGGGCACAAATCATGGTATTGTTTGATTCTACATTCATTTGTAATTTGGATGTATTCCTGATGCTCAGACTTCTTCTCTTCTTGGCAAAAGCATTTCAACATTGCAGGGCTGGCACTACTGTGTAATGTATATAATTTATCTTATTCATAGTTGGGATTTTATGCTGCTGAATGTACATGACCACAGCAGAAGCAACCATTCCAAATCCTTTAAAGATGATGGTGTTGTAGTTCTGCATTGCAGCATTTTATGTGATGCA